CTGTTTTTATTAAAAGTTCCTTTCAATTTTCATTTTTCTTGCAACTATTTTTTTGATACCGCGAGATTTTCTAGTAACACAGGTTCATCATTATTACATTTACTAAAATATTATTGGAACCTTTGAAGTAATAGACTTCGTATAAGAAAACCCCTGTTTTTCGCTAACCATGAATAACAAGAAGCCCCATTTGTGAGGCTTCATGGGGTTATGTTATTTTAGTTGTTACTGAGCTTTTATTGTTATTGAAATGCAAGTTAGTTTTTATCAACTCAAAATCATGTCATTAATATGCACTAGGTAGCAGTAGTTACTACAGATATATACAGATAAATTCCCAAAAACTTTTCAATATAAGATCTTCTCTTGGCATAGAATTGAACTAAATAATAGTGATGGAAAAAGTGTTACACGTATGCTACTCCACTTACATTTCCACTTACGTTTTTAATAATGAAATTAGAGCAACAATATGAACAGTTACTACAATTATTCAATGAATATAATACTAGAATAAAATTTACAGTTGAATTGACAAAACTAGAACAAATACCATATTCAGATTCGAAAATAATACTAGACTATATATACAATAGAACCTTGCATTACTACAGTAAGCACCCTAAGACTCAAATCCTAAACACAAAGAATAATTTAATACATGGAGCTATTGCATTGACTGATAAACCATTCAGGAAAGAAAGAAAAACAGTGATATATGAAATTATTTTGGAAAATGCTTATCCCAAAACCTTAATCAATAAAATGTGGTACAGTATAAATACAAAACTTTCTATTCAGAATGTTGATCATTCTGTAAATACAAGTAACAACATAACAGAGGCAAAATCACCACCTCTGAACCAGAGATATAATCTACGTAATAGAAATAAAGACAAAGTAGGAGGTCTAACACAATATTTGTTGACCAGTTATATCAGTAAACATAGTAATAATGGAAACTCAATAGAAACAGGTAAAAAACCTAATGAAAGCACACCTAACAAACTTAATTTCAACAAAATCAAGCACACCGGGTATGTGCTTGATTTTGTTGGAATAATATAACCAATAAAGTAACATCTATTTTTAGAAAACATGAGTTTACAGAATTGAAATTCGCTCCTTATAACAACAATAAAATTGAAAACTTGCTCGCCAATATGACAGACAAAATAAAGACTATAGATAAAATAAACACGGTATACAGAATCAATTGCAAGAATTGTGATAAATCATATGAGGCGTGTAGTAGCAAAACTCGCCTTATCCATTTTTTACAAAATTTTGGTTAGATATTGGAATACATTATTTTTATAAATTTCAACACATTCAATCATAATTTTTTTTAAAAAACATGCTATATACCCTTTTAAAATCATTGTGAAATTTTCTTGTCATAGCAAAACTCGCTATATTTATAGCGAGTATCGCGGCAAAAGTTGCCTTATCCAAGCGTCCAATAGCAATAACGATTCACGATCACGTGAGCTAGGGTTCTGATACGCGGCCATTTTAAATTAAAATTTTTTAATAGTTTGTTTTATTAATAAGTTATTAAGCGTGTTTTTGGTGTTGTGTACATACAAATTATGTCTAATATGAGTCAAGATGTTATTTTACCCTCAAAAAAAGGGAAAGGAAGAAAAAAAAATAGCGGATAAATCAAAATGGAAAAGAGAAATCAGTAAGCGTGAAAGGTAAGCTCTTTTTTCTTAAGAATTTATTAAGCTTCTACAAAAAGTACTCGATCTGTNGATTTTTTTTATGGGGTCATTTAAAGTCTGTTGTATTTACCCCTCAACCTCAAAATTTAGAAGAACTTCGTCAGAGAATTACTGCAGCTTGCCGTGGAATTCAAAGGGAAGTTTTTGAAAATGTGCGCCGTAGTTTTGAACAACGGTTGTACCATTGTTTAGCTAATAACGGACAACACTTTGAACAATTATTAAGTTGATTTTCTCTGCAACAAGTTTTTGTACATAATTAAATAACTGAAAATAAAATAGAACGTTTCAAGCAGTTAAAAGTTGTTTAAGTAATAACCAAATAAACCTAAAAGAAAAATGAAACAGAAATCGTTTTTTCTAAATATCTCTGACAGACGCCAGGCAAGCTAGCCAACGTAGGTATATCATTGTCAAAATAACCTAAATATCGATCAATTTTAAAAAAATAAATACTAACATGTAGTACCTTAAAAGACCTTTAAAATGAGGTATCACTTGACACCCCTTTCCATTTAAGATTTTTAAGGGGTTGGTTTCTGGCGGCGGGGGGTTGAAGTGAGTGAGTCAATTTTTGCATAAAAAGTTGTCCCCCTTGGTTTTATTCTTTACCTATTTCGGCGATTTTCTTTTTAAACTTCCGGATTTACAAAAATTGAGGTGGAAAGCTTTGAAATGAACACCCTGTATACAATAGAACCTTGCATTACTACAGTAACCACCATAAGACTCAAATCCTAAACACAACGAATAATTTAATACATGGAGCTATTGCATTGACTGATAAACCATTCAGGAAAGAAATAAAAACAGTGATATATGAAATTCTTTTGGAAGATGCTTATCCCAGAACCTTAATCAATAAAATGTGGTACAGTATAAATATAAAACTTTCTATTCAGAATGTTGATCATTCTGTAAATACAAGTAAGAACATAACAGAGACAAAATCACCATCTCTGAACCAGAGATATAATCTACGTACTAGAAATAAAGACAAAGTAGGAGAAACACAATATTTGTTGACCAGTTATATCAGCAAACATAGTAATAATGGAAACTCAATAGAAACAGGTAAAAAACCTAATGAAAGCACACCTAACAAACTTTATTTCAACAAAATCAAGCACATACCCGGTATAACCAATAAAGTAACATTTATTTTTAGAAAACATGAGTTTAAAGAATTCAAATTCGCTCCTTATAACAACAATAAAATTGAAAAGTTGCTCACCAATATGACAGACAAAATAAAGACTATAGATAAAATAAACACGGTATACGGAATCAATTGCAAGAATTGTGATAAATCATACATAGAGGAGTCTAAGCAGCATCTTCAGAAGCGCATAAGTCAACATAGAAACGATGTGCGATAATTCAAAATAATAGACAAGCGCTATGTCAATATTCCTTGAAAAATCAACACAACTTTGATTTTGAAAATCCTAAAGTTATCACCACGACTAAGAATAGTTTCAATAGGAAAACCTTAGAAGCTATTCACATTACTAAAAATGTTAATAACGTGGTCAACTTCAAATCAGACACAGGCAATATAGGTAAAATATTCGCGGGAATAGTTGATAATCTTGATATTTAGATTAAATTGAAACAAATAAGTAATTCATAAATGACAAGGCATCATAATTAGTATTGAAAATTGGATTTAAATTTATTTTGGATTCATATAAAGAATTTCAGACCAGTAATAAAACTGGTTTGTCGTAAGAGCCATTTTAGTCACGCAAATGAGCAGTTGAGAACCACATGATAATAGACTAATCCTTATGAAAATAACAATTAAAATAATTATAGATGGCAATTATCAGCTCTCCCATTGTTTTTTCAAGNACTCTGCATTCTTGAAGTGCTTGCAAAACTGCCATCAACTCAATTTAAATTAAATTTATAAATACCTCAAAATACCCATCTTGGGTAAATACCCCCGGGTATATATCCAGGATATTTACCCTTGAAAATAAATACCCGGGTATTTAACAACACTGACCACGAGTAAGAATAGTTTCAATAGGAAAACCTTAGAAGCTATTCACATTACTAAAAATATTAATAACGTGGTCAACTTCAAATCAGACACAGGCAATACAGGTAAAATATACGCGGGAATAGTTGATAATCTTGATATTTAGATTATATTGAAACAAATAAGTAATTCATAAATGACAAGGCATCATAATTAGTATTGAAAATTGGATTTAAATTTATTTTGGATTCTTATAAAGAAATTCATACCAGTAATAAAACTGGTTTGTCGTAAGAGCCATTTTAGTCACGCAAGTGAGAAGTTGAGAACCACATGATAATAGACTAATCCTTATGAAAATAACAATTAAAATAATTATAGATGGCAATTATCAGCTCTCCCATTGTTTTTTCAACAACTGTCTTTGAATTTATATATTCTGATTATAAGTGTAGAATTTAACAAAAATTTTAAATGTATTATTTTTAAATGTTTCGTTGTTGTGTTTTCCTTAAAATTGTAATTGTTCTTTTAGATTTATATTAAAATCCTGATGATGGGCTTATAATAGCCCGAAACGTCGATTAAACATGTTTGAGTAAACATAATTAATCCATGAGGAGTGTGTTATTTCCTTTTTTACATTTTGTAAATAAACTTTTTTTCAACTAAACAACAGCTGGCTTATTCTCATTTCAAAAACTGTTTCAGTAACAAAAAGGTTTATATCCTCTTCATTACAAACTGTGCAAACGTATCAAAAGCAGAAATAGTTGCCCGTAAATCAAATTGTAAACCAGACTTTCCCGTGAAATTAAAGCATTTATGTGTATAATCATAATTGCTCTATTCAACATCACTCAGCAGTTCACGTTCAGGTAGAAAGAAGTTGAGAAAATTCTCTTTTCGTATTAGTGCAAACAAGGACGGAAAATATGATGACGTTAACATTACATAAATTTTAAAACCCAATCAATCTCATTGTTAATCAATGCTATATTTGATCACAGGTAGTAAACGAAAATTTTACGAATCCCGATGATTAAATCATTTAATCGATTCTGTAGACTTTCTTTTAAGTTCTACTAACAATAAATATTTTAAAATTGTTGGGTCTAAAAGTTTGTTGGTACTAACGTTTATACCAGTTAGTGATTTACAAATTAAGGTAGTTTGATACCGCTGCTGCTGTTATAACATGGGATTCTGGGAATACGCCTGGAAACTAAACGACAATTTCCTGCCGACGAGAAGGTATCCGCGACTAATTAGCACCGGTGTTGCAGATACCCCCGAGGCACAAATAATCCTCGGCACCTCCCTTAATCCTGACGCAATCCGGGAAGGTACCGACGTCTACTTCGACTGCATCGTAAACGCACACCCCAACGCCTATAAAGTCGAATGGAGACATAACGTAAGTACTTAATTTTATTACAAAATGGAAATTTTAGGACTTTTCGTTTCTGTATAACTCAACTTAACAAAATAAAAAAAGTGTAAATTGATTGTAAAATGTTATCTCCCCAACAAATTGGTTAAAAAACTCTAAGATTTACGAAACACTTTCATTTTAATGCTAATTTGGTGGAGGGATATTATCAAGTGACGTTCTTAATTTACTTTTGAAATGAGCAGTAGACTGCGTGCTAATTTTGCATTAAAACGAAAGCAAATGAAACACTCGTGATTTCGTGTTTCGGCAGGGTAAAATGCTAAACCACAACGTCGCCTCCGGCATCATTATAAGCAACCAGAGTCTCGTTTTGCAAACGGTTTCAAGATCCACAGCCGGAAATTACACTTGCGTGGGATACAACACGGAAGGAGATGGCGAAAGTCGACCCTTTTATCTCAACGTGATGTGTAAGTAGTCTTTAACATAGCCTCATATTTGAGTTATTTAATTTTTTATCAACATTCATTCAGTTACTACATATTTCTGCTATCTATAAATACTTATATATTTTTCAGTTCAAGCATTTCTGTAGTTTATTACCTAATTATTTTTGAACATCTCAAAACTTGTACTTTATTCTTTATGACTAGGTCATCGTTTCTTTAACCGTTTCGTTTCATGACCACGTTTTACAGTTACCATCTTTAACGTTGAATCGACCATTTACTTTTATCTGATCCCAATCTATCTCCCGTAGAACTTTTACGACCAAATTTAATACCTTCATTTCACGATAGTTGGTCGCACCACCTTTTTCAAATCCTTACAAAAACCGATTCCCTACTTTCTCATCAGCTTAAATTCATAGGGCATAAAAAATCGATGAATAATTAAGTTTAACATGGTTAACACGATATCTTGGTAATTACATCAAGTGACTTGTCATGATGCGTACGTAAATTACACCGAAGTGAACTAATATTAGTTTAATGGGCAAGCTATGTTTGTTAGTTGTGTATATTGCGGTGAATGCATATACATCATTTAGCTGCTTACGTGGTCTTTATTACGTGTTTGAGATGCAGAACAAGCGCTACCGAACGTTAACAACATAGCTAAGTAGTAACCAAGTATAATTAGTACCACACAGTTTCATGTTCATAAGAAACATTTTATTATAACGATGTTTAAGATAGGATTTAGTTTTTAAATCAATTTTATTTCAAGAATATTTTAGAACCAACATAAACAAAATAGAAGTAAAAATAAGCGCGGATGAAATGTAATAAAAATGAACGAACATGTATTCTGTAGGGAATATTTGAAAATTAATATGCGCGCTGCGCATGAAACTGACATTTTGATTCCACCACAAACAAAATAGAAATGCGGTGTAAATAAAAGTTTCAGGTCGAATAGAAAATGAAGTGGCCGTTGATTAAAAAACTTTTGGCCGCAGCATCAGAACGTTTATTAGATATTCAGGGTTTTAACGTCACGTCAAAACGGTATCGTAATTTCATTTTTCCTCGCATTGAAAGCCATCCGTCCCCGATGCCACTGAAAAAAATCAACCCCAGAACAAAAAAAAAACGTTGTGTCGACAACCACCGATAACGACATTGTTGTTTATGACATATACAAATGGAAACATTACGATCCAAAACATTTATAACCTACCATGTTTCCTTTTTTTTGATGATGAATAAGTCTCATAATCGCACATTTATAAAGCTACGAAGATAATCAAAAATCAAAATATTAGTATGTAACTAATTGTAATCTCAAAATGAATTTTTTTATTTGTTTTTGATCAAACGTTGATGATAAAGTAACCCGATTAACCGTCAAATATTTAAGTTCGCATTTTTATTTTTTGCGCATACAAAATGTATAAACAATCTTTAATCGTGCAAAAATTCAACTGTCATTATTTTGAACAATACATAATATGTCGATTTGTATTTCATTTCATTCTCAGAACCCCATTATAACGTTTAGTTTTAGGTTTAGTTTTTCGCCGCTTGGTTTCAATCATACCTTTCTAATCGTTCCTTGTGTGTACGTGACTCCTCATCTTCCTCGTTTGTATTTACAAGCCATTGCGGTGTGCGTAAGAGCAATGTTTTGGGTCCACTTCTCTTCTCCGTCTTCATAAATTGCATTACTAAGATAATTAAGTGCAACACTCATCTATATGCAGACGACCTCCAAATTTATACATCTGCAGCTGTGGATGAACTTCCAGCAGCGGTAATGCGGCTTAATAGGGACCTTGCTAGTGTTCTAGACTGGTCTAGATGCCATGGCTTGAGTTTGAATATAGCAAAGACTCAAACTATTGCTTTCGGGTCAAGACCTTTGCTAACAAAATTTTACTCCATCAATAATACCCATCTGACACTCGATGGTAACATCATACAATTCTCTCAAACAGTTAAAAATTTGGGGGTGATGATGGATTCTGCATGGTCTGAAGAATGTTTATTTCTGTTTTTATTCCCTACGCAAACTTGGTTGTTTCCTTCCACCTATTGTTCATCGCAACCTCTGTTACTCTTTAATTCTCCCCCATCTGAACTATGCCGATGCCGTGTACCCAGACCTCTCGATTAGTCTCCGTTACAAATTAGAGAGGTTACAAAATAATTGTCTGCGCTTCATTTTCGACCTGAGAAAGTATGACCATGTTACACTATATCGTAATCATCTCGAGATCCTTATCGGTGAGAGGGGTAGATTATTTCGCATATTAACTACCTTATAGAAGATACTTTCCTCTCAATCTCCAATTTACCTGGTTATCTAACTGCATTTCACTTCATGGCATCTCGCGGTCTTCCTACTAGAGCACAGTCTGATGTCTCACTCATGTTTCCCGTTCATCGTACTCAAATATATCACAGATCATTCACTGTACAAGCTATAACTCTATGGAATAATTTACCGACAGAGTTGTGTAATGCTCATAGCTTTTCCGTATTCAAAGCTTCGCTAAGAAATCACCTGTTGTCTCTACAGTTATCTGAGAGTGATTTTTGATGTCATCTGCTTCTTCTCTTTTTCCTCTTGAGCTGACAGCATTATTTGCTCTTTTACAATCATTTTTCGCTTGATCTGATTTTCTTTCTTTCTTGTTCTCTCCTATTCTTTTTCTGTTATTTAACATGTAGGTAGACTTATGTTAGTTTCTTTACTTTGTTTTTTTTGTCTTTTCTTATTGTTGTCATATCTGGGAATATGAATACTCTCCCGTTTTGAAGCATTCACTCCACATATAGAGGAAGGTTTCTTTGTTTCCTAATACATTGGCGAGTGATCCAATAGTTGAACTTAATACAAAGGTTTTCCCGAAATTCAACGTCAAGCGGGTACCGGGTGAGAGACCAACCCATATCTGTTCTGGTAAAAATAAGAAAAAAATTCTATGTCGCTTAGTTTAGTGGTAATAGACATATATTTTTGAAAATGTTAAAAATCGTTACCATAGATCATATCTTTAGGTTCTACAGTCAGAAATGTTCGCAATAATGTGATCAACCTGAGAGCTTATGATCTGGTATAACCTAAGCACGAACGTTGCTTTATAACTTTAAAAACTCTAACATTTTGAACAAACATCAGATTAAGTCGGCGATTTTTTAAATTTTGTATTAAGTTCAGTGGACACCCTGGGAACTTATAATTTTGATTAACCTAAGCGTTACTTTATAAACCTCAATAAGTTTCATTTCTTAATTCCCAACCGTTTTTTTGCTTTAATCACCTTTGTAACAAATTTCAAATCTGTTATTACCCTGCGCACTTAGAATTTGGTGTAACCTAATCTCAAACGTTCCTTTATAACCTTAATAAATTTCATTTCTTAATTCTTAACCATTGTGGAGAATATCAAATCAGTTTAAATCAGTTGTTCTTCATCTTTCTCAATCAGCAGTCTGTAATAGTGTCGGCATGGTGTCCTTTATTTCCATGTTATTTCTTAGCATTCCCCATATTTTCATCTAGTTTCCATACACAGCCCTCTCCATTTGTTTTATGACTTGTTCTCAACTTTGGTTCGTTTTTTTTTGTATAGAGTCCAGTTTTCTTGGTTCTTGTTCCGAAGGTATTTGATGTATGCTTCTTTCTTTTGTTCACATAAATGTTTTATTGGAGGTGAACCATGGTATTTCATTTGTTTAATGAGATTCACTTGTCTTATTCTTAGCATTTGATTAGCTGCGTTTGTGATACCTGCTATTAGGGGTTTTCATTGTACATCCACGCTGTCTTCCGTATTGACTGAACTCTGCTTTATTTTTTCTGTTAATCTATTTTCATATATCTCTTCATCTTTCAGAAGTCAGTATAGAGTTCGTGTATTCCCCGTTTATTTTCATTTTGCAAAGTATTATGTTGTGTTCTCACATCGAGTATTTTGCCACTCATTTTGTTTACTGTAGATTATTAGAAGAATTGGATTGAGTTAAGAATTGGTAAACTCTTGTCTTAGTCTGCTAGAGGTGTGTGTTCATAAATTGATGTGTTCCCTTATAGATCGCTAATAGGTTTTTTGGCATTCATTGAATAATTATTTTCTTTGCATTTTACATATCTATCACTGAATGACCAGTAAAAACTGTTGACGTATATATTTGAATTCTTGAGAATTGATTTCAATTAACTTAATTTTTAAAAAACGGGTGACTTCGCTTTTTAGTACTCTCCATTTTTAATTGTAGGAGACTTATATCTATGTTCTGACGTTTTTAACAATGTTCTCCCTAACAATGAGGAGAAATCCTTATATTACTCCAATCATCAACTTTCTATAGACTCTTCCATCAATAGTTTCCAAAGTAATTTACAACTACTTAAACTATAAGCTTCACCCTCCACTTATTTATCAACAGCACTGGTTCCTTCACGGAGCTAGCAGAAACGAATTTGTTTTCAGATGGCGTCTATATCTATATACTGACGGATATAAGTGGCGAGGATATTTACAGACTTTAGCAAAGCTTTAGCAACTTTTTTTGTTGAGAAGCTTGTTAAATTTAATGTATTGTCTCCTGAAGACGCTAACGGCATGTCCCCTGAACGTAGTTCATTTTATTTGCTATTATCTTAGCTATGCTTGTTATCTTAGACCAATTTAATAGGTCTGTATATTTTATTTTCAAGATTACAGACTTCCCAGTAATTCTTGATATGTATATATTTTTATCACGATAAACATATGAATCTAAAATTGAATATAAATCCGTTAAATCGCAAAAAATATATTGGAGGTTTTTAAACTGTTTCATATGCAGCAAATAGTATAATATAGAAAAGTCGTTTCTCCCTTGAAAAATATACCGACGCATTTTATATCTTTCTTCTTTGATTTGAATTTATGATAGCGTGCCGGACAAACATCCATAAATTATGCTGTATACAGCGGAAGATACGTGTAATACGTTATTTATGGGCCGTAGGAACGTGTTTCTCTGCTACTGTCGAAATAAAACCAAAGGAGAGTACTTATGACGGTCAAATGGCGTGTGAATTCGTTATAAATGGAAACGAATACTTTAAAGACCTGAATAATATTCTAACCCAAACGGAGATTTATATATTTTAATTCATTTCTGTCCCATAAGAAAGATTTATTAAACTATAATTTTTTTATGAAATACCAAATTAAATTATTTCTAAAGTAACTATCACGTCCACCATCATTCCACACCTCAAGACAATTCCATTTAAATTCAAAGTCTAGTAAACCGCAAGCAAATTCCGCATGGATTTGCCGCCGCATATTCGTGGTATTTGCATTGGACGCGTGTGTACACAGTGTCTCTGTTGCAGTCGCGCCGACGTGTAAACCGAATCAGACGAGAATTTACGGCGTGGCAAAGCAGGAGAAGACACAGATTTCGTGTCAGGTGGAGGCGAATCCGCCGGAAATTCAGTTCCGTTGGACCTTTAATAATTCGGCCGAATCCGTTGACGTACCCGCTTCACACATCGCCAGAAGCGGCACATCGAGCATGGTTTCGTACACGCCAATGACCGAACAGGATTACGGCACGCTACTGTGTTACGCTTCAAACAGAATTGGCCACCAACGGGTTCCCTGTGTCTTCCACATCATTGCCGCAGGTAAGTGAGCTTTTATCGTTTAAACACTAATTTGGTTCTAGTAAATCCTCTTTAATACTTTATCACATCAAAACAGTTCATTATTTATAAAATCATAAATCTTCCGTAACATCGTTAAATGACATTATTTGGGTTTAGATCACGATTATTAATTGTCAACCTAAATGGTTAAAAGAGCCAAAAAGATAAGATTTAAAACTTAATATCTGTGTCATTAACACTGCACCCGCAATCACGAAGTGTGTGACTCTTACATTACTGCGTTCAATGATAGGTATTGAACCTCGACTGCGTTATCTGATTTGGCTTACATCTGAGCGAAAGTACAGGGTGATTCTCAACCTATACGCATAAACTTGGGGATTTTCTCCTCATGACAAATAATGACTAATAGGTGAAAAAATTTGTAGTAAAAGATTTTCTGTTTCATAGATATCTGCGATATTTACTTTCAAATCAAGAATACATAGAACATTTTAAAATACCATCACAGCAAGTGTTCGAAGTTATTTCCCATATTTTTTATCAATTGGGCTCCCCGAATCCACGATCTCCCACTAGCACAGCTTAAACCACGGTGTTGGCAGATTGTCTGGGTAGCAGCATGTACCTGATTTTGCAATATTTGCTCAGTATTAACTTCCGTTGCGTACACTATGCTTTTTAAGTGACTCGAAAAGTAAAACTCAAGAAGATTGAGGCCGAGCGATCACTGTGGCCAGGTCATTGGACCATCTCGGTCTATCCATCTTCCAGGAAACACATTGTCTAAATGTCGCCGATTATATCGGATATCTAGGATACTAAAAACTTTTACTACAATTTTTTTTATCTATGAGTCATTATTTGTTATGAGGAATAACATCGCAAGTTTATGCGTATAGTTTGAGAATCACCCTGTATAGTAAAATAATGACGATTAATCTGGTTTGGGTAAACCGAAGATCTTGAGATCTATGTGCATATAAGGTTTACGAAGTGTTGTAGCTCTAGCCACAGCCTTTACGATCTTGTACTGAACCCAATGAAATCGTAGTCTTTAATTTTGTATTCCTGTATTTGGACTAATCATGCAAGATTTACCACAATATTTCGGTTGGGTTAAATATTGATAGATAAATTAAAAAGACTGCAATTATTTCATTTGCTATATCAATAATCTGCTATGACCATTGAAAAAAGATTCTGTTCCTTATTTTACAGTGCGCGCGTCATGTATGGAAATTATAAAACTTTTTTTTTTAAATGAGAAACTGTATATTTTTAAATTTTATAAGAAATATTTTTATTACTTATTTAGCGATATATTTGGATACTTGGGTTTGTAAATGTAATTGCTTAGAAATTACGATTTACAATTTTTATACCCCCAACAAATGAGAGTACCATGAAAAAACAATAAATATAAAACAGAAAGAAAGTACATGTTATCATAAGTTGAATAAACACAATACAACAAAATGAAACTAAAATAAAAAAGGAAAATTTTCAATATCATTTCCTTCTCTCTGAAAATGTGAAAAGTGAAAACTCATTTAAAACATTTCGAATGGTTTCTAGTGGTTTAAGCGATATTTCTTCTTGTGGCCTATTCATGTAAATTTTACCCTTTAAATATCCCCATAAGAAATAATCCAGTGGTGTTAAGTCGGCGGATCTTGTTGACCATTCAATAGCTCCCCTTCTTCCAATCCAACGATTGGGAAATGCAATTTCTAGAAAGTTACGGATATCTCGTAAATAATGGGGAGGTGCTCCACTTTGTTGAAACCAAATCAGTCTGTGCATGAGACGAGGATTCATATCATCTAGAAAGCGTCTGGCTAAATCCGGCATTAATTGTTGTTTTTGTAACACCAAAAATGCCCATTTCTGTTCCCCTGTTAGGGTAACAAAGAAAAAATAAGGACCAATAATTTGATGATTTCAAATTGCTGCCCATACATTAACTCTTCCAGTGAGGATTTTCGTTTGACCAATATCTGCTGTTCTGCCTGTTGACTATACCTTTTAAAAAGAAAGTTACCTCGTCAGAAAAAATTATTTGTTTACAATATTCTGGGTTATCGTTTAATCGACCCAATATTGTCTCGCAAAACTGCATCCTCCGATCTGGATCATCTTTGTTCAATTTTTGTGCAAATTGTACTTTATAAGGATGTAATTTTTTTTCTTAAGGATTTTTTTATGATCTATCTTATTGTTAGATATAGTACCACGTCCTATAGGCGTACTGTCTTCGTACTTATTGTTAAATATTTCGTAAACCTCCTCATGTGTACGAGTTCTGCAACCATGAAATCAGTATAAAAAATAACATAATAAATTACGTTTTTCGGACACTCACTGGAAATGGCCTATATTTCCTTATTTATTACAAATCGTAAAGGAAAGTACCTCATTTCTTTATAGCAACCAAATAAACAATTACTTATTTATTAGAATAAATATTAAACGTACAATTATTAAGGTTAGAGAAGCTTATACTTGATGTACACTGTTCTAACTGTAAATCACCACATGTTAGTGATGATTTTGATAACACCTCTTGATGAACTCCTGATGAATCACTACTTTATTTTTTTTATTTGGTTGCTGTAGTGAGGGAAACGGCAGAAACGACAATTTGATTCTCGAGCTCGTCGTGTATTTTTTAAATAATTTCTTATAAAATGTAGGTAATTCATTTAAATTGAGTGTCCGAAAAAACTTCATGTATTATTCTTAAAGAAAAGTAACTTCTTCTTTACTCATCGCATTTCTAATCTCGGCTTCGCCTCGATTAGAAAATTCGTGATTCGTAAAGAAAAAAGTATACTTTCTTTACTTATAATACAAATAACTATTTTAATTTATCTGTCACCGCAGGTTTTATAATTTTATCACAGAAACTATAAATTTGGCAACTTTGCCGAGAGAAAGTTTGAATTCCTAAGATTATGTATCCTATCTATAGTTCGTTTTTTTTCTATAATACTTGTCAATGTAAATTATTTAGGGTTTCTGTTGGTATTATCTAGGACCCTTATAAAATTTATGTTGTTTTCATGATTTTTAGTAACATTGTCAGTAACTAATTAATTGAGGTTAAAATACTAATAAATTTTTAGATAAATACGATTTTGATGAAGTACATATTTGTTGTAAAAACGTGCTACAAAGTAATTAAATAGAATAAAATACCTTTTCTAGGTAAATAAATGGCAAATAAACACCCCACAACATTTTTTATGCACCTTTTCTTTTTGAATAACGAAAGCTCAAACGTCAGTGTGACATATTTATTTCAAAACATGATAAAACAAAACTCCCTGTTAATTTTGCCAACATTACAACAATTTAACAGGTATTATAGAAAAAAATGAACTTATACACACAAATTTTTGTTCAAATTTATCAAGTCGTTAAAAAGATTTTTTCATGTTTCCATACATGTAAAAAATCATTCTTTTACTATCTGACGTTCTTTAACTATGTGACATGATCTGTAATACAGCCGTATTTATTGTGACATGCTTCGTAAAGATGCTTTTTCCAGAAAAAACACTTTTAGAGTTATCGAAGCGTTTAGCAACTCTACTGATATGATGACGTAAAGTATCATAATCCGAATCCGAATATCATATTCAAATTATAGAGTAATCCCTAAATACTGCAGTCTCTGATTCTTGAGAGCATAAATTCTGTGTTCTCTATCAAAAATCTTGTAAATTCGTCCCCAAGTAATTTGTGGATGTAGATCCGCAGGAACTGAGAGGAGAAGGTGCTACAGCCGTTGATTCTGTATAAAATAAACTCTAGTTACGCGAGGGGTACATTTAAGTGAGGGGTGCAGTACATGAAACGGGCCAATCCTTTTCCTTGTAAGAGGTAAAAGCATTGTGTTGTACGATATAAAATTAGAGATCATCTTGTCAAATAATTGGATTTGTTACTTAGGAAATAAACCTGACACCACCTTATTATATCCACCACCTGCAGATATGATAAAGTACATAAGCGCATAAATAACAAGTATGTGCTAAATTCTAAGAAATGTTTGGCTTTATTGGGATATTCTTTTATTTTAAATAACCTGTAGAGTGATATACAGGTGTTCTACGTAAGCGACAAAGTACATGAATGGCATTAAGGAGCCAAGATAATTAGTTCTTCCTTACACAAAAGTTGTAGGAAATTTATCACACTATAAACAGAAAATATTTTAATACATGCAGGGTGTTCCATAACGACGTACTGAAATAAACATATGTTATTTTAAAAGGAATTATATCTAGTGCTTTTAGTTTTTGAGTTATTTTAATTAGGAGTTTTTTTAGCAATTAACACTATGCCCTTCAAATCTGAATTTCTTGGCGACTGATCGAGATAGAAAGTTAAAATTTGTAACAATTTCTGCTTGGATATCCTTAAATAGAACGCCATTGGCTACATCGTTCTATTTTATACAGGATGTTCAAAAATGTAACTACTGTTTTACCATATTCAATTGCAAAAGAAGTCGAAAATTTTAAATGGAACACCCCATATTTGATTAGCTTATCAGATAGAGAATTTAATTCTCTACAAATCTTCAGTACATGTTCCTATACCTATCTGTTGCAGTTGCTGAGATAGAGCGGAATAAAGCAAAATCATCCAAAGAATGGCAGATTTTATTTATTTTTCCTATTAGTAGGCCATGAAATATATACGACGATAAATAATTTATCAAAGTCAACTTACTTTTGTGTGTAGAATCAGAATACGCAATAAAAACTATATCATTCCATTTAAAATAACATATGTTTACTTCAGTACGTCGTTATGGAACAGCCTGTATGTATAAAAATATTTTCCGTTTATAGTATGCTAAACTTCCTACAACTTTTGTCTAAGGAAAATCTCGGCTCCTTAATGCGATTTATGTACTTTGTTGCTTACGTGGGACACCTGTATAAACACGCTTCCTTGGCAACCTTAGAGTAGGAAACATTAACGTAATAAGTTAAAATAAAAAT